CCCCACAGTCCCCCTCCTCCTCCTCCTCCTCCTCCTCCTCCTTCCACCTTCTCCTCCTCCTCTCCTTCCTCTCCTTCTCCTTCCCCCACTCCACACCTCCCCATCCCTTCAAGCGCTGATGACTTTACCTAGAGGGGTTGCGAAACGTCGGCAAGCAAAACGCCCTCACAACGACCTCGACAGTTTATATCATAACCCATTCATTTAGCGACCGTTCCAAGTTACGGCGGCACTGAGAAAGTGACCCACGACCACCTTTTTCACACTTCACGACCGTTGCAGAAGCATCCCCCCCCCCATGGTGGACACGATCGAATTTCAGAGGTTGGGCAACCGGCTCACGTTTACGACGGTCGCTGCGTCCCCGGTGTGTGTGTGTGTCATGCGTCCCCTTTTGCGACCTTCTGACAGCCTACGTCGTCCGCGGGGGGGGGGGGATCCAAACTCACTTAACAACTGGGCCACTCGCTGAAGAACCGCAGCGATTCCCTTAGCGGCCGCGACACGAAAGGCCGTAACTCAAGGACAGCGCCTCGCTTAATGACGGGGCTGAATCGCGGTCGTAGGTCCGAGGACTGAGTGCATTTCAAAGACCGGGCCCGTCGCCCACCACACGCCACTAACATTAAAGCCAGAAAAAAGAGCTTTTTTATTTTATTTTCTTTTTTGGCGGTCCATAAAACCCCCCCTGAGGGGAAACGTCCTCCAGGGATGATTTCAGGGGGAGCCATTTTGTTTTCCCCCCATTTCTCTTATTATTTTATTTTCCCCTTTTGAGGGGGGGCACTGCCTTTTGATTGACGGCTGGGATGCCAGGTTGTTTCCTCGCCCGGCGTATAATTAAAGCTGCTAAAAGGAAACCAGCGAAGGAGGATGGGATCCGGGGGGGGGGGGCGGGGGACGACGACAAAAGGAATGAACGGCGGACATCTACGTAAACAAAGACCATATGATTATTATTATTATTATTATTAATTGATTACCTCACAGTCAGTCAGATGTTCAGACTGAGCCTGATATTTTTATCTCCTCCCTTTCTTCTCCTCCTCCTGCTTCTTCTTCTTCCTCTGCTTCTCCTCCTCCTCCTCCTCTTCCATGTCTCTTCCTCCTTCTCCATTCTCCTCCTCCTCCTCTTCTACTTCTTCTTCTTCCCCTTTTTCTTCTTCCTCCTCCTCCTCTTTCATGTCTCTTCCTCCTTCTCCATTCTCCTCCTCTTTTTCTCCTCTCCTCCTCCTCCTCCTCCTCCTCCTCCATGCCTTCCTCTTCCTCCTTCTTTTTCTCCTACTCCTCTTCCTCCTCATTCAGGCCTTCCTCCTTCTCCCTTTTCCTCCTTCTCCTTCTCCTATTCTGCTTCTTCTTCTTCCTCTTCTTCTTTTTCTTCTCCTCCTGCTCTTGTTTCTTCTTCTTCCTCTTCTTCTTCTTCTTCTTCTCCTCCTCTTCTGCTTCCTCTTCTTCTTTTTCTCTTCCCCCTCCTCCTCATTCAGGCCTTCCTCTTCCTCCTTCTCCCTTGTCCTCTTCTTCTTCTTCGCTTCTTTTTCTCCTCCTCCTTCTTCATGCATTCCTCCTTCTCCCGCCTCCTCCTCGTCTTCTTCCTCCTTCTCTTCCTTTTCTCCTCATTCATGCCTTCCTCTTCCTCCTTCTCCCTTCTCCTCCTCCTTACTTCTTCTCTTCCTTTTCTCCTCCTCCTCCTTCATGCCTTCCCTCATCCCTCCTCCTTCTCCTCTTCTTCCTTCTTATATTCCTTTTTCCTCCTCCTCCTCCTCCTCCATGCCTTCCTCTTCCTCCTTCTCCCTTCTCCTCCTCCTTCCTTCTTCTCTTCCTTTTCTCCTCCTCCTTCCTCTTCCTCCTCCCTTCTCCTCCTCCTCTTCTTCCTTCTCCTCTTTCTTTTCTCCTCCTCCTCCTTCATGCCTTCCTCTTCCTCCTCCTTCTCCTCTTCTTCCTTATCTTCCTTTTCTCCTCCTCCTCCTCCATGCCTTCCTCTTCCTCCTTCTCCCTTCTCCTCCTCCTTCCTTCTTCTCTTCCTTTTCTCCTCCTCCTTGCCTTCCTCTTCCTCCTCCCTTCTCCTCCTCCTCTTCTTCCTTCTTCTCTTCCTTTTTTCCTCCTCCTCCTCCTCCTCCTCCTCCTCCATGCCTTCCTCTTCCTCCTTCTCCCTCCTCTTTCTCCATTCTTATTCTTATTTTTATATTTTTAGATTTTCACGCGGAGCGTCCTGGGAAGGGACAATCTTTATTTACAAGTAATTTCCTCAACTTACGACTCCCCAACGGAGGCCCGCATTTCGGCTGCTAAGCGAGACCCTTGGGAAGCGATCGGTTGACTTTTCTTGCCACGGTTGTTCAGTTTTTGTCCCTGTGTAGTTGTGTAGTTGGTTAACTGAATCCGGCTTCCCAAACCTTATCCGAAGGTTTTGATATTCAAATAAATAAAACCGCTGGTTAACTTTGCATTTCTGGCTTTCTCCACTTCCCTGATCTCATCGGCAGCGTTGGGATTTCCTGATGGGGGGGCCCTGACCAATGCAGGCAGTCCTCGACTTATGACGAGGAGGCCAACATTTCCGCTGCTACGTGAGACATTTACGAACTGAGTTCCACTCCGTCTTTCTCACCAGAGTTGTTAAATGAACCACTGCAATTGTTAAGGGGTCATTAAGTGAATCCGGCTTCCCTCCTTGACCGGCCTGGTCAGAAGGTCGCAAACGGNAGGAATGAACGGCGGACATCTACGTAAACAAAGACCGTATGGTGATTATTTTTATTATTATTAATTGATTACCTCACAGTCAGTCAGATGTTCAGACTGAGCCTGATATTTTTTATCTCCTCCCCTTCTTCTCCTCCTCCTGCTTCTTCTTCTTCCTCTTCTCCTCCTCCTCTTCCATGTCTCTTCCTCCTTCTCCATTCTCCTCCTCCTCTTCTTCTCCCTTCTTCTCCTCCTCCATGCCTTACTCTTCCTCCTCTCCTCTTTTTCTCCTCCTCCTCTTTTTCTCCTCCTCCTCCTCTTCTACTTCTTCTTCCCCTTTTTCTTCTTCCTCCCCCTCCTCTTTCATGTCTCTTCCTCCTTCTACATTCTCCTCCTCTTTTTCTCCTCCTCCTCCTCCATGCCTTCCTCTTCCTCCTTCTTTTTCTCCTCCTCCTCTTCCTCCTCATTCAGGCCTTCCTCCTTCTCCCTTTTCCTCCTTCTCCTATTCTGCTTCTTCTTCTTCCTCTTCTTCTTCTCCTCCTCCTCTTCTGCTTCCTCTTCTTCTTTTTCTCCTCCTCCTCCTCCTCCTCATTCAGGCCTTCCTCCTTCTCCCTTGTCCTCTTCTTCTTCTTCTTCGCTTTTTCTCCTCCTTCTTCATGCATTCCTCCTTCTCCCGCCTCCTCCTCGTCTTCTTCCTTCTTCTCTTCCTTCTTCTCTCTTTTCTCCTCCTCCTCCTCCATGCCTTCCTCTTCCTCCTCCTCCTTCCTTCTTCTCTTCCTTTTCTCCTCCTCCTTGCCTTCCTCTTCATCTTCCCTTCTCCTCCTCCTCTTCTTCTTCTCTTCCTTTTCTCCTCCTCCTCCTTCATGACTTCCTCTTCCTCCTCCTCCCTCCTCCTTCTCCTCTTCTTCCTTCTTATCTTCCTTTTTTCCTCCTTCTCCTCCTCCTCCATGCCTTCCTCTTCCTCCTTCTCCCTTCTCCTCCTCCTTCCTCCTTCTCTTCCTTTTCTCCTCCTCCTTGCCTTCCTCTTCCTCCTCCCTTCTCCTCCTCTTCTTCCTTCTTCTCTTTCTTTTCTCCTCCTCCTCCTTCATGCCTTCCTCTTCCTCCTCCTCCCTCCTCCTCCTCCTCCATGCCTTCCTCTTCCTCCTTCTCCCTTCTCCTTCCTTCTTCCTTTTCTCCTTCTCCTTGCCTTCCTCTTCCTCCTCCCTTCTCCTCCTCCTCTTCTTCCTTCTTCTCTTCCTTTTTTCCTCCTCCTCCTCCTTCTCCTCCTCCTCCTCCTCCTCCTCGCCTTCCTCTTCTTCCTCCTCCCTTCTCCTCCTCCTACTCCTCCTCGCCTTCCTCTTCCTCCTTCTCCCTCCTCCTCCTCCATTCTTATTCTTATTTTTAGCCAGTGGAACTGAAAGAGGGATCTTTCCGCCCTGATTTTCACGCGGAGCGTCCTGGGAAGGGACAATCTTTATTTACACGTAATTTCCTCAACTTACAACTCCCCAACGGAGGCCCGCATTTCGGCTGNAAAGAGAGATGTCATAAAACGAGGTACGAGTCCTTGACTGGCAGCCACAGTTCATTCAGTGACCGTATCATCTACCTCCTTACTATTCCCCCTCCCAATTCCCCACTAATGAAACAGCGTAGTGTAATAGAATATTAGTATGGTGGGCCAAAGATCACAAAAGGAACCGGCTGCAGGCTTGACACATGGAAGGCTTGGGCAAATTGGGGGTAACAAAATGGGAAACCCACCGCTGATCCCCAGAAATCAAACAAACTGCATCATACAATAGGAAAGGAATTGGATTTAAGAAAGTTTGGGGAATGGGTTGCTCGCAGGGGGGGGTTGCTATGCGCTATGCCTTATTTTATCTTTTCTCTAAAGCTAGATTAGGGACGCGGTGGCTCAGTGGCTAAGACGCTGAGCTTGTTGATCAGAAAGGTCGACAGTTCGTCGGTTCGAATCCCTAGTGCCGCATCACGGAGTGAGCTCCCGTTACTTGTCTCAGTTCCTGCCAACCTAGCAGTTCGAAAGCAGTTTGAAAAATGGGAGCCACCTTTGGTGGGAAGGGAACAGTGTTCCATGCGCCTTTGGCGTTGATTCATGCGGCCACATGACCACGGAGACGTCTTGGGACAGTGCTGGCTCTTCGGCTTTGAAACGGAGATGAGCAGCGCCCCCTAGAGTCGGGAACGACTAGCACAGATGTGCGAAGGGAAGCTTTACCTTAAAGATACTTTGGGGGAAACCACCTCTTTAGTTATAAAATGTGAACCCCCAAAGGAACTTTCAATAAACGTTTCCCTGTTTTATTTTTCCTGCACAGGGATAAACTCGCCCTGGCCGGCTACCAGTTCTGTATCCTGACCCTGGAGGAGAAAGTCGCTAAGCAGAAGGAGATGCCCGCGGGCACCTTGCCAGGTAGAGGACCAAGAGGGGCTGCCCAGACCTGTTGGCCTTCAGCCTGACAATCCTGAGAATTTGCTTACGGTAGTCCTCGACTTACGACCAAACACTTAGCGGCCGTTTGAAGTTACGACTGAGCTCCCGGACTGCTACGTAGAACCCAGATTCTGACAGTTGCTGCCCCCTTGTGGCCGTGTGATGAAACTTCAGGCTCTCAGAACCCGCATTTACGGCTGTTTTGCGGCCTCCTGTGGTGACGGGAACGCATTTTAGGACGGTTTTGTCAAAAACGACGGCGTTTGCTTCTGGTTTTCCCGCCAGCTTTCTCCCATAGTGAACCATGGGTTCGCTTAACGACCACGGCATTCACTTTATGACTGCTGCCAAAAAATCAGGCTGGGGACCAATGCATTTTACAACTTCTTATGACTGTGATGAGCATGCTGGTCGTAAGTGGAGGACTACCTGATACTTGGTGGAGGGAGGAGGAACCTTCTGGGAATTATAGTTCATGCTATTATAGGTAGTCCTCGACTTACGGCCACAATGGAGCCTAAGATTTCCGCTGCTGTGCGAGACAGTTCTGAAGTAAGTTCCGCCCCATTTTACGACCTTGCCGCCATTGTAAAGTGAATCCCTGCAATCGTTAAGTGAGTCACACGGTTGTTAAGTGAATCTGGCTTCCCCTTTTGCTTGTCAGAAGGTCGCAAAAGGGGATCACGTGACACCTCCCCCCCATGGGAACATTGCAACGGTCATAAATACGAGTCAGCTGCCAAGCGTCTGAATTTTGACCGTGGGGATGCTGCAGCAGACGTAAGTGTGAAGCATGGTTCTAAATCACGACAGTCTTCAGTGTGAGAAACGGTCCAAAGTCCCATTTTGTAACTCGTAACGGTCACTAAATGAATGGCCGTAAGTCGAGGACTGCCTGTAATGGAGACCGGGGCCGGGCTGGGTTCACGCTCTCTTCTCCTCTTGTTCCAGAGGAAGAGCGGGTCAACACACACCTTCTCCTGGCCATGAGTATGGACTCCTACGCCCGCTACCTCCTGGCGCACAACCAGACAGCGCTGGCCCAGACGATGTACGAGCGGGCGCTGAAGATCGCCATGGAGGTCAACGGGGAGAGGCACCCCCAGGTGAGCCCTGCGGGGCTTCCAGGAGGAAGGGCAGAAGGGCAGGAACTCATCGGGCTGACAGGGTTCATAGACTGGATAGGGTTTCCTGTTGGAGCAGGAGGCTGGACTAGATGGCCTCCGAGGTCCCTTCCCATTCCATAATCCTTTTTTCTTTCTTTTTAAAATGTTTCTGAAGGTTTCGTTTTGTTATGTCAAATACAAAGAAAAGAAGAAGAAGAAAAAAAGAAATTAAGGGAAGGGAAGGGGAGCGGGGAAAGGTGGAGAGAGAAAGAAAGAAAGAAAGAAAGAAGGAAAGAAAGAAAGAAAGAAAGAGAAAGAAAGAAAGAGATAGAAAGAAGAGGGAGGAAGATGGATAAGTGGAGCAAGGGAGGAGAAAGAAAGAGAAAGAGAGAAAAGAAGGAAGAAAGGGAGAGAAAGAAAGAAAAGGATAGAAAGAAGAGGAAGATGGATAGGTGGGAGGAAGGGAGGAGAAAGAGAGACAGGAAGGAAGGAAGGAAGGAAGAGTAAAGAAAAAAGGATAGAAAAAAGAGGGAGGAAGATGGATAGATGGGAGGAAGGAGAAAGAAAGAGGGGAAGAAAGAAAGGAAAGAAAGGGACAGAAATAAGAGGGAGGAAGATGGATAGGTGGAGGAAGGAAGGAGAAAGAGAGACAGGAGGGAAGGAAGGAAGGAAAAGTAAAGAAAAAAGGATAGAAAAAAGAGGGAGGAAGATGGATAGATGGGAGGAAGGAGAAAGAAAGAG